CTGACGCTTCGAACTCGTCAGCGACATCGAGCAACTTTTCTTCACAGCCATCTGGCACCATGCATCGACCCAACAAGCCATCCGATCTCGCGGTTCTCAGCCAGGCCACGTCGATATCGATCCCCTCTGGTGCTAACAGCCCTACGTCACCGAGCCACCACCAGCGACCGCGCACGCAACTGTACCCAGAACCGTCCATCGCCTGCTCCAGGTGCTCGAAGCAGCATATCGAGTACGAGATACATTACAACTGCAGCATCTGCTCCAGCGGCAACTGGAACTTGTGCCTTGACTGCTACCGCAGTGGCAAGGGCTGCTTACACTGGTTTGGTTTCGGGTATGGCGCCTGGAATAAGTGGGAGAAGGCGCGTCAAGCGAGCCGCAAGGAGCTTGCGCAGCCGCACATGCTCACGGCCAACCGGTATCTGCCTCCAAAGATCACGCCCGGAGGCGCCGAAGGCCGCCGCACCCTCACGACCGACGACCCCCTGAAGCGGCTCGAGAGCGGCAACTTCTGCGCGCGCTGCCTCGCATGGGCAAACGAATGTTACTGGCGCTGTGACCACTGCAACCAAGGCGACTGGGGGTTCTGTAATGACTGCGTCAACCAAGGCTCGTCGTGCACGCATCCACTGCTGCCCCTGACATACCAGCCACCTTCGTCCCACACGCCACCTGCCAGCCCGCGCTCACCACAGCCGCCTCACCACGCCAGTGTGCTGACTGGCCCCAACGTATCTAGCATTGGACCCTTCAAGCCGCTCGTCTTCCGCACGAGATGCGACGTATGCCAGGACCCTATAGCCCCGACGCAGAGCCGTCTTCACTGTTTCAGCTGCACCAGTTCCATCGAGCCGGACACGAAGCCTGGCGATTACGACGTGTGTCAGGCCTGCTACTCAGCGCAGGTGTCTCGCGGCCAAATCAGCGTCGAGAACGGCCCGGCAGGCTGGCGAAGGTGTCCACAAGGTCACAGGATGGTCGTCGTGGGCTTTCTCGAGGGCCAGGGCGGGCAGTATCGGCACGTGGTACAAGACCTCGTCGGCGGGAGAAAGCTGGTCGTTGCGCCTGCGGGCGAGGGCCAGGAGGCGCGCGGCTTGCAGAGATGGAGCTGGCTCGATGGCGACCGCAAGCTCGAAAGGCTTGTGACGACGAATGTGACGGCGTCGACACCAGAAGGCGAGGCCGCGGCCGGGTTTCCGCCTGACGGAGGCGTTGGGTGGGCGGCGGTCGCTTCGTGGGCCTGGTTTCCCAAGGCAGAGGCAGAGGATGAACTGATGTTTCCGAGGGGTGCCGAAGTCAGAGAGATTGAGGACGTCAACGGCGACTGGTTCTTCGGGGTGTACATGGGTGCCAAGGGACTGTTTCCGGCACCCTATGTGAAGAGGTTTGAGGGCTAGGTTGCATTGATATCATGTGGGAGGTTGCTGGGAGCATGCGTTTTGTTTGACGTCGGACATGTTGAGAGTCCAGATTTGCAGGCTGTCATGAGCCAGATTGAATGAGAAATGAAAATGATATACTTCCTCAAACGAGGGGACGAAGACGTCGTCAAGTCAACAACGGCACTTGGGTTATGAGTTGGGGTTACGTGACATGCTGGAATGTCAGCTTTAAAGGCATGAGTGATACGTTCTATTTAGCCCCTTTTCTTTTCCGGGCACGACTGATGTAGGTGTATGGATGCATGATGCACAATGCTGCCAGGTTCCATGACCAACTTCCCAAAATCGTCACACTGTTACGCGCACCGTACTCCAGACGTATTGCTCAGCCTACATCAAGGTCAGCGTATGGTTATGAATCGGGTCGGTCTGCGGCTGGCTAACGCTTCTTGCAGATCTGGGTCACGCCGAAAGTGTCCCTGATGAGGAGAGGGCCCAAGTACGACTCGGGAACTAGCGCGACACGAATTAGTTTGAGTTCCAAGAAAAAGAAGAGAATAGGAAGAAAGAGAAAAGAAGAGCGAGAATTTTTTTTTGAACAGGGCATGGACGGGCGGCGTACCGAGGATCTGGTGGGAGAAGCTGCTGCAGAGATAGCCCCAGTTGCCGTCGTCGGGGCAGTTCTTGAACTGGGGCTCGCGGCGGGCGTCCATGGTGGTGGGCTGATAGTTCCACTCGCAGAAGCCGTGCGAGGCCATGCAGGTGACGCCGAGGGAGCCGACGTCGAACTCGGGCTCGCGGCCGGCGCAGTCCTCGACGCGGAAGACCTGGTCGAGCGTGGCCCAGCCCTCCTCGACAATGGTGCGCGTGAGGGCGACGTGCGTGTTGCGCGTGTCGCGCGGGTTGTGGAACGAGTAGGTGCTGCCCTGGCCGTCGAGCCACCACTGGTTGCAGAAGCCGCCGTTGCTGAGGCCGGTGCAGGAGATCTGGTTTGTCTCGGTGGCGAACTGGAGGGCGTCGACGCCGGGGCTCTTGGCCGAGACGATGCCGTTGGCCTTGAGGGCGCTCGAGAGCACGTAGAGCTGCAGCTGGCGGTAGAGCTGGCTCGACTGGATGGTCAGCGACGTCGTGACGCGCTGCGAGAAGCCGCCCTGGCCGCAGGCCGTCGCGAAGAGCGTGTGGTTGCGCTGCAGGGCCACGACCGTGTCGAGCACGTTCTTCTGGTAGTCCTCGACGAGGTTGGCAAGCGAAGAGCCAATGTTGCCGAGCTGGATGAAGCGGTCGTTGGCCGTCTGCGACGGCTTAACGAGCGTGTCTGGGAGCTCCTTCTTCAGCGACAGGGCCTGGGCCAGACCGCTGTGGATCAGCCGGATCGCGTCACCGGTGCCGCCGGGGAGCACGCCCGTGAAGAGGCTGACGACGCCGAGGGTCGATCCGAGGACCTTCATCAACGAGCTCGCGGGCTGCTGGGCCTCGACGGGTGGAGCCACGGTTGAGACGATCTTGTCCACGGTCTGGCCTGCGAGAGCCACGCCGTTACTCAGAGCTTGAGAGTACTGGTTGAAGAACTGGTGAACTGCGTAGATGTTCCAGAGAGCCTGACATTGTTTGTTGTTAGTGAACATGCCCACTCAGCTTTGTTTGGAATTTTGTTGCTGCCGCGGCTCACGTAGAAATGTTGGTTGCTAGAATAGGAGACGGTCGACGAGGGAGGAGGACAAGTCGAAGACGTAATGTCGTCACAGGTCAGAGTGGTCAGGCCGTTGAACTGGAGGTAGCACTGGGCAAACCCCAGGGTGTCACACCCGGCAGCGGCGCTGTTGGTTGCCATCCAGTCGTTGATGTACTTATCCATCTCCAGTGCCTCCCAGCACTCTGCCTTGAGGCCCGAGGACGAATTCGGGGCACAATCGACATCTTGCCTCTGGACGATGGGGGTTGCCGTGACAGTGCAGGCGAGAGGGACGAGAAGGGCAATCGTGCTCTTCAACATGGCGTTGACGGGGTACGGTAACTATGGTATAAAAGTAAAGAGTGTAAGTGATCTTCAAGATAACGACAGAGCTGGACTACGACTTTCAAAGAGTGCAAGAATAGCCGGAGAACCAGAAAGACTGAACCAAAAGAAGGAGATAGCGAAAGGAACGGATGATCAGTGCACGCTCAAGGCTGTTCAGTCCGTGAGGGCACGCCGTCGCCGATCTATTTATCATGGCATGAAGAACGACCCCAGCCCGATGAGTTTGGGCACTTTTGGTAAGATCTACCCCATGATGCTATACCTGGAAGGTAGGTCTGTATCGAACCGGCAGCAACGGCAGGCTTTTGGCGATTCATGACTCCTTGGCCTCATTTGGACGACTCATGTCCCTATGCTCAGCTTGGTTGCACAGCCCTACCTGACAGCAACGACAACTCAATCCACCGCTTGGCCCAAGCTCACTGCTATCTGGCAGTTTGACTGAGTTGAAGTCTTTCAACTCCAAGACGTGGTAGCTGGTAGGCCAGGTACCCAACCCGCTCGACAGATGGTCGAGCGACAAGAGCGCGGTCAGCCCAGCGCATCGGTATGCACGAATGTCACTGAGAGGCACGAACCATCCCAAGCTGAGATGATAGCTGCACGATGGAAGACGGCAGCTCCCGATCTGCCCATCGCTGAAACGATGGCTTGGGCGATAGAGTGCTTGGCACGTCATGCGCCGGCAGCCCCGTGCGGCTCACAACAGCGGGCTTCTTGGTGATAAGTCGCAGCACCCCACAATCGTCTCGGGGTTCCCTTCTCCTTGGGCCCCCACTGGATGCTACGCTGGGTCTCTTGAGGGTGCAACGAGGATACGAGCACCCCGGGTAACGACCGACTCACGGGCGTGATCAGGCTGAAGCGCGTCGATGATTGCTCTTCATCGCGTCTCGGCCAAGTTTGTCGAGTCAGATAGACAAGCCAGAGGGGGTTTCGCGTTGCTCGTTCGGGCGTGCTGCATGTCAGAGAGGGTGCCATGAGAAGATGCGTGATCAATCCATTGGTGTCGGTCGCTGGCCAGAGACCCTGAGGGCGTAGCGTCACTGTTTGTACATTGGATGGATGCCTAGGCTGCCGAGAAGCACTCGAGGGGACGCTGGCGGACAGAGCCACCATGGTTGCTTGGCCTTGAGGTTTCGTCTGGTGGCAGTCCTTGTGGAATGTATGAGGTCGTCAGCGTCAAAGTGTCAAGGCCTGTAGGGTAGGTCTAGATGTAGTATGGGTTTCTTCATTTTCGAGATGTTTTCTGATCGTGAAATGATGAATGAGAGTCTGCTCTACTACAACGAGGTCCATGGTGAAGCTCACAGGCTGTGAGGATGAGTGTTGGTGTTGTGTTGAATGACAAAGTACCTAGGTACCCTAAGGTGGGTAGGTAGGTGTCCAGAAGGCGGGCAGGTACCCCCACCATGGCCCTGACTAATGCGGCACTCAAGCTTCGATGTCGTCTTCGTCCCCGAGCTTCGGAGCTCTCAACGACGTGCCATTACTGCCCTCGACATTGACGCCCTTTATAGCCTCGCGCCGTGCCCAACCTCCAACGAACGACCGAGCTGACGAAGTACCCTGTCGTCGGCTGATTGACCATCAACATGTTCCGCCACGGCCTCCGTCGCTTTGCGACAGCCGCCGCGCCTGTCGTCGCCGATCCGAGCCCATACCTCTTGAACCTTGCCAAGGCCCAGGGCACCGTCAAGGGCCTCACCGGCGGTATGTGCACGATGCTTGACCATGTCACGGCCGGAGCGGCGGGCACCTTTTGCTAACGACGAGAGACAGCCATCGGAAACACGCCGCTCATCCGCCTCAACAAGCTCTCCGACCAGACAGGCTGCGAGATTCTCGGCAAGGCCGAGTTCATGAACCCGGGCGGCTCCGTCAAGGATCGCGCGGCGCTCTACGTCGTCAAGGACGCCGAGGAGCGCGGCCTCCTGCGGCCCGGCGGCACCGTCGTCGAGGGCACGGCCGGCAACACGGGCATCGGCCTCGCCCACGTGTGCCGCAGCAAGGGCTACAAGCTCGTCATCTACATGCCCAACACGCAGTCGCAGGGCAAGATTGACCTGCTGCGCCTCCTCGGCGCCGAGGTCTACCCCGTGCCGGCCGTCGCCTTTGACAATGCCGACAACTACAACCACCAGGCCCGGCGCCACGCCGAGCGCCTCGACAACGCCGTCTGGACGAACCAGTTTGACAACGTCGCCAACCGCCGCGCCCACATGGAGACGACGGGCCCCGAGATCTGGGCCCAGACGGCCGGCAAGGTCGACGCCTTCACCTGCGCCACGGGCACCGCCGGCACGCTCGCCGGCGTGACGCGCTATCTCAAGGACGTCAGCGGCGGGCGCGTCCGCAGCTTCCTCGCCGACCCGCCCGGCAGCGTGCTGCACAGCTACATCCAGTCGGGCGGCGAGCTCGTCGAGCGCAGCGGCTCGAGCATCACCGAGGGCATCGGCCAGGGCCGCGTCACCGACAACCTGCGCCCCGACATTGCCCTGCTCGACGGCTCGCTGCACATCGCCGACGAGAAGAGCATCGAGATGGTCTACCGCTGCCTCGACGAGGAGGGCCTCTACCTCGGCGCGAGCTCGAGCCTCAACGTCGTCGCCGCCAAGGAGGTCGCCGAGAAGCTCGGCCGCGGCCACACCGTCGTCACCATGCTCTGCGACGGCGCCTACCGCTACGCCGACAGGCTCTTCTCGCGCAAGTGGCTCGAGGCCAAGAACCTCGCCGGCGCGATACCCAAGCATCTGGAAAAGTACATTGTCTTGCCGTAAGGAAAGAGTCAAAGGAATCGATGGATGCATGCCAAGGGGGGAAATATGTTGGTCGTAGTTTTGACATGTTCGTACACTGACTGGCCCGGCTTCCTCCGATCTATAATTGTACATTTTGACCCATTTACACAGCCGTTCTCTCTCTCTCTGTGTGTGTCTTTCTCTCTCTCTCGCTTCGTCTTTTGACACATGCCAATGGTACACGCGTCCTGCGACTCGTCTTACGCATCCGTCTTGGCGTCCTCCGCTGGCGCCGCCTCCTCCACAGGGCTGGCCTTGATATCGAGCTTGACGCCACCCTGCGCGTCAAACTGATTCGTGTAGACGCGGTGCGGCAGCGAGCCCTCCTTGAGACCGTCCTTCAGCTCGGCAATCTTGTTGGCGAGCTCGGGCTCCAGCGCGGCGGCAATGGCGTTGAGCTTGTCGGCCAGCGCCGGCTCGACGACCTGCGCCGCCAGCTTGAGACCGTGCAGCGCGTTCGCCGCGGGGGCGATGTAGAGCGGCGCGGCACTGAGATACCTGACGTCACCCCTGTCGCCGCTCACGCTGCCCTTGCCGCCAAACGCCTCGGCCGGGTAGGCCCCGAGCAGGCCCTTGCCGGCGGGCCAGGCGCCGACGACCTGCTTAGCCCAGTAGGTGACGCGGCCGTCGACGTCGCGGCCGGCGTTGTGGCCGACGGCGAGGGCGGCGGCGAGGTGCAGCGGCGCCGTCAACGACAGGGGGTCGCGCTCGACGGGCCACGACAGCCAGTCGGGCCTGCGCTTCTCGAGGCGGTGGGCGGGGTCGGCGGCCATCTCGAGGACCATGGTCGACCAGCGCAGGGCCTGCTCGAGCTCCTTCTTCTCCCAGGCGGCGTCGAGGGCCTTGAGCTGGACGAAGAGCAGAACCTCCTGGACCTTCTGGGGCAGGTCGAAGCGCAGGCCGGTGCGCTTCGTCTGGCGGGCGGCGTCGATGACGGCGAAGACGCGGCCCTTGGCGCCGGTCTGGCGGACCATCTTGACGAACATGGCTGTGTTGATGACACGCTTGGCCTCGCGCAGGCCGGAGAGGAGGCGCACAAAGTTGGACCAGTCGTGGGTCGTCTCCATGTTGCGCAGGGCCTCGTGGAAGACGGCGCGCGTTGAAGGGATCTCTTTCCACGGCAGGTGGCTGAAGCGGTGGGTAAGGCCATCAATCTCAATGTCGACGGGGTTCATGCGGAGGGAGTTGCGGTGCTTCTCGTTGAAGACGCGCTCGCGCTGGTGTGGCGGCAGGTAGTAGGGGAGGATGATCTTGTTCTGGATTTCCGTGAGGATGGGCGCGAGGTTGTCGCTAACGTCGGGGTCGAAGGTGATGTATCGGGTATCTGGTAAGAGTTAGAAAAGTCTAGGAGCACGGCTGACCGGCCATGTCAAGAGGATCTATCGTGTCGACGTACCATGGCGGGCAGGTGTCTGGGTGAAGCATCGCTGCTGCATGGGCGAGACCGTGGGCAGCCGTAATGGCGCCTGTGCCCTGAAGGCATTCCTCAGCAACACCCTGTCCATCGTGTGTATGTGTGTGTTTGTGTGGGTAGGTGGACGTCGACTTCCTGGGCTCGTCGATCCGACAGCGGGAGCAGACTCAATGGGCGATCAAGGTCTGTTATCGTCAGGCAACTCGGGACAATCGCTGTGAGGTGAAGATGAGGATCCCAAAAATCGACGAGAGCTTACAAGGGGGGGGGTCCAACGGGGGTCCAACAGCAGTCCAGCCAGCAGGCGTCGAGCACCTGTGGCTCCACTAGTGAACCCCGACAGACCCGCCAATCGCTGGGAGCTCCGCGGCTTCGGCGAAACGCGTCTACCGAGCCAATCACACATGGCAATCCGACCGTCGTCCCTGAGAAAGTCGACTTTTCGATTCCTTACCTTCATACAGCTCCTCCATCACGACGACGAACACGACGACAAGGACCAAACCTCCGCCCGTCACCACCACCATGAACGTCCACGCCCTCAGGCGGCCTCTCGGCTGCCTCAAGACGGCCCTCCGTCAGACACGCCAACAAAAGGCCCTGCCCCTCGCCCGCTCCCTCGCCACAGCCGTCGAAACCACAACACCATCAGCAGCAGCCTCATCACGACCACCACCGCCGCCGCCTGCCGGCACGAAACCCATCATCAACACGAAGCCCCCCGGCGTCACGCACCACCGCCACTTCGCCCTCGCGCCGCCCGTCCCCTCGATCCGCAAAACCCACCCAGACCCCCTCCCCGCCCTGACGGCGGCGCAGCTCACCAAGCTCGACCCGACGGGCGCCCGCACGCGCCTCTTCGACCGCACGCGCCCCGACGCCGCCAAGGCCGGCGACGTCCTCCTCGTGACGACCCGCACCGGCGAGCCCTTTGCCGGCGTCTGCCTGTCCATCCGCCGCCGCGGCGTCGACACGGCCATCCTGCTGCGCGGCCAGCTCATGCGCGTCGGCGTCGAGATGTGGCACAAGATCTACGCCCCGACCGTCATTGGCATCGACATCATCTGGCGCCGCCCCAAGCGCGCCCGCCGCGCCCGCCTCACCTACATGCGCCAGCCCAAGCACGACATGGGCAGCGTCGCCCACCTCGTCCAGGCCTGGAAGAAGGAGCGCTACGCCATGCGTGGCAAGGGCAGGGGCGCCAGCGCCGCCAAGACGGGCGGCCAGGTCGGCACGAGGTTCTGAGTGTGTTCTGGTGAACGTGCTGTGTGGCATGGGAGTGTATGATATCGCTGCGTGTGAGGATAGACTGTATTATCGAATGGAAGCAGCCTTGTGGCCAATACACCATATCTGTCATGTGCGTGATATGATGTGAGCGTTCTCGGACGCGACAGTAGCAAGATCCCAACGTAATAATGACATGGCGAATCAAGTTTCACAGACACCATACAACAGACAAGCGTAATCAGCTTTGCAGCCATTCTCTCTGTACAAGGTGCAGCAGTCTCCGTCCTAGTCCCAACCGTCTACGGCCGCGACGCCAGTCTACACAAAACCCAGAACCCCCATGCCCAAAAGAATGCAAGAGTGAAAAAAAAAAAAAAAAAAGGTATGTAGGATTACGGAAACGCTGAACCGTCCCAATGCAAACACCAAAAAAAGAATCATCAAAACACCCCTGTCACCACGCACATGACACCCCGCCATGCTGGTGTGGTGGCTGGCTGCCTACCGAGATGAGGCTGGAAACCTCCAACCCATGAAACTGCTCGTCAGCCACGACAGCTGAGGGGGATGCACCGAGACCTTCTAGCCCATTGGTGTCGTGAAGACGCGGCGGGCGCGCGTCGCGGGCGCAATCTCTTCGTCCTCATCCGTGTCAGCGTCTTCTACAGCCACCGTGTGCCGTCGGCGCAAGTCTGGCCCTTCCATGCCGTTGGCGCCCGAGGCCGAGACCCCAGCATCAAAGGACACGCGGCGGGCGAGGTTCCGATCCTCGCGCGGCACGGCGGGCCCCGGATGCAGAAACGACGAAATAATGCCCCTATCTCTACTTCGTCCTCTCTGCAGGTCGGCGCCTGTCCGGTTTGTCACGGCCGTCATCTGCCGAGTGAGACCGTTTTGCGTCTCGAACGCCTCGTCGGCAAAGCGTGCTTCGCTGGGGAGGAGGACAGCGCGGTCGAGGCCGTAGGGAAGGCCGCGGTGGCGACCACGAATCTGCATGGCAATGATGACGAGCTTGCCGCCAGTCGTGAACTGCGACGAGAGGGACGCGTTGACGTTTGGATACCCCAGGCTCAGGCCGACGGTGCCGTAGGCACTGATCAGCTCAAACAGGATGCTGTACACGTTGAACTCGTTCTTCTTGATCTTCGAGCCCTCCGTGATGGACAAGATGAACAGCCCCAAGAATACGTACCATAGATCGAAGGACAGCTGCCGTCGCAAATGTGTTCCGACGTACGACATGGCGCTGGCGTCGTTGATCGTCTCGTCGTCCTCAGCACCGTTGTAGACGCCAAGCGACTTTTCCTCGTACACGTTGGTCCTGCGGATCGAGATGGCGATGGGGAAGACGGAGATGTACATCATCATCATGTACGAGACCTGCACGGCCGGATGAAGGAGCGACAGGTTGACAGAAGAGAAGCCTGCCGTTCTCGTGCATGCCGCCTGGAACAGGCCATTGACGATTCGGAGATGGACAGGCATGTCGCTGACGACGTTATCGTTGAGCTGCCAAACGTCAGTCAAAGCCCCAATCGAAACCACGCGAGCTGGCACCTACATCAAGCAAGACAAAGAACAACAGGTCGATGGCGTTCAGTCCGATCAGGATCCAGAACAACCACCAGGTAGCGCTGGCCGGGAACAGCAAGGTAAAGCAACGGCGCGGATGGTCCAGGAGGAAGCGCAACTCCTCCCACAGACCTGAACCTCGGGGAACGAGGCGAGCCATGACCCAGATGATGGATCGAAGCATGACGGGGAAGCCAGTGTTGCCGATGATGATGAGGAAAACCATAATCATCAGAACGTACTGTGACTGATTAAACGACACCATGCTGTCAGGTGTCAGGGTCAGACCCAGATCGAGGAAGGCCGAATTGGCAGTGAAGAAGCCCCACCAAGTTCTCGACATGCCGGCGGCGTCGACGACTTGGGCATACTCGTTGTTCGCGGGGCTTTTGATCCACGGCAGCAGGCAGACCAAGGCAAAAATGGACCAGCCCCAGAAGTAGCAGACGAGAAGAAGCGCCAGAGTCCTCAGAGATCGATACTCGATGCCTCCGAGTTCCTCGCGCTGTTCAAGCGACAGTCCGGGAAATTGTGAGTTACGGCCCAGCGTAGGCGTCCAGCTGAGGTACGGCGCGTCATCCGCCTTCTCGCCGGTCAGGGCGCCCCTGAGAACATCAAGGGTCCGAGTGCGATGCTTGGGGCCCGGTCTCGGATTGTCATTCTCGTCCTCGTCACTATCGACGTGGTACTTCTTCTGCCCCCGCTGGAAGATGCGCGGCTTGCGAAACATGACAGAGTCGAGCACGTTGCCAATGACGGTGGC